ATCATATTTCACTACACCCAACTATTGCACTGTGGGATGGACTCAGCCCAAGAGGACAGGTCACCTCAGCTATCCAACCTCCCCTACTATGGACCACACTGTCTCAGGCTCTGCTTCACTTTTATGGGGGACACCTGAAATACCCTCTCTCCTACAATAGACTCTGCCTGGAAGGAGGAATAGCTGCTTTGCACCAAGGTGTGTCTGTGCAGGGGGAGAAGGTGAGATTCAAGGCACGTCTGCCCCACAGGAAAGCAGGAACCAGAGGTGACTATATCACCAAATACATTAACGTCTCTGCTGTATGCTGCAACAGCATTTCTCATAAATAGAAAGCTGCTTTCCAGGATTCCCCTGTGCACTCCCTTAACGAGACTTCTGAGGTCTCATTTTGGCCACTGGGTGAATATTTAAAATTGCTTTCATAGATTCAAGGGAAAGGGCTTTTTTTCCCAAATAGTTGCCACAGCTCACATTCAACGATGATCATTTAGCATAGTAAAAATTTATGTCTGTCAATATATGCAGTAACACACCTATAGAACTACATCGATTTGTCTACACACAAATACGTTCCTACAAACACATATTTGATTAAGAATTTATATAACTTCAGGCTTCAAGGAATTTTGGATCAATGCCTTTATTTTGCTTTGATAAATAAATAAACTCAATTAAACAGTACTTACAGCAAACCATGATGGGCAGGAGAATAATTTTCCTGAAGCTTCACTTTCCAATGTTTACCTGTTATGTGGATCTAGGGAATCAGTTACACCCTAAAGGGAGCTTATTAGAGTTTGTGTTACCAAACATCTTACCTTTCCCACCCACCAACGGAAGAGAAGAATTACAGCGGCATATATATAGAAAAAAACTTGCATTCTGCAAACCTCTTACAATTTGCTGTAATAAATTAAGGCATAAATAAATAAAACAAAGCCCTGCAGGCAAGCAGCATTTGAATCAAGACTGGATCTGCACCAAGACATTCACCATGCAGTCTCACAAGACTCATAAACCAGATCCCCTGAACATATGTAGCATTTTGCTTTACTGTATAGGGCGTTAACTTTAATGCCTTAATATATGCACATAGTGGTCAGGTTACAGTTGCTGTGAGAATTATAATTTTGCATGTCCTCACCAAACTGCAGATAGGGAAAAAAAAAAAAAAAAAAGTAAAAAAGCATACCACTGCATTCCCTTCAGCAGGTTTTATAAATTTAATTTCTCTTATGTTTGAAGGAGGAAAAAAATAAGACACGTGTGAAACTGCAAACAAATTGGAAAGCTGAAATGGCTATGAATTAACTTTCCTCCTTTTCAGGTAGTTTGCATGAAACCTCACATGTCCCCAGCCAAAGCAATGTCACTGCATGAAAAGTATGTGCTCTTGGGTGTGATCAAGCTTATTTCTGAGTCAGAAGCATCTTACCAAGGACTTACTACAACCTCCTCCTCCTTTTTCCTAATGCACCAAAACCAACCACCGGCATTCACTTGCAAGTGACAACTATAAGCAGAAACAATCTGCAGCTGATTAAGTTTAACACAATTTCTGCTGATGCTGCTTGACTCACACCCAATTTTTACTGCTACAGTCAGCTAATAAGTTAGATCCTACCTGTTTTAAGGCAATGGGTTTGTCTCTGCCCTGTTCTTCCTCCAGCCTCCCATTACTTCCAACCCCTCCATCAGAGAAGGTTGTTCTTTGAGTCATCAACCGTTTTCCATACATCAAAAAAGCTGATAGCATTCAGGCTTACTCCAGGTGCAGGAATGTATAACAGCTATTCAATAATTAGTCCTCTTCATCCTATTAGCACTGATTAATGGCTGGCAGTGTTCCACATCATATAGAAAAGCCATGGTCATGCAACCATGTGGTAGCCTTGGCAAGACCAGAGCTGTTCCCACCTCTGCAATCTACTCCACCAATAGTAGTCTAACAAAGTTAGTTAAAAGTAAAAGAAGAGATATTATAGTGGCATTCCAGTACCTGAAGGGGGCCTACAAGAAAGCTGGGGAAGGACTTTCCATAAGGGCAGTTAATGACAAAACAAGGGGAAATGGGTTTAAGCTGAAAGAGGGGAGGTTTACATTAGATATTAGGAAGAAGTTTTTCACTGTGAGGGTGGTGAGACACTGGAACAGGTTGCCCAAGGAAGTTGTGGATGCCCCCTCCCTGGAAGTGTTGAAGGCCAGGCTGGATGAGGCTTTGAGCAACCTGGTCTAGTGGACGGTATCCCTGCTGATGGCAGGGGGATTGGAACGAGATGATCTTTAAGGTCCCTTCCAACCCAAACCATTCTATGATTCTATAATTCTATGAGATTTAATATGGTTGGCATGAAAACAAATCAGATAATTTCCACAAAATAAACCCCCTTATCTCTGAGCTCAATCATCAAAGCCAAAAAATATTTAACATCTGGTGGAATTGACCACAATTCAAGAATATGCCATTTGTGACCATGCACAATACCCATGTCCAATACAGATCACCAGTTGGTGGACAAAAATAAGCTAGAACATTTCTATAAATGCATAGCTGAAAAGCGACATCTGTGGACCATCACTCCAAAGGTGGTGGTGGTAACTCTTAATAAGGGTAAATGAATACATTAGTCCTTTGGCACACAAAGGCCTTAGTTTTATTGGCACTACCACCCAAAACCAACTAAGGGATAAGAAGGTCTGGTGTGGAATGTAATTACTTGAAACCTGCCTAATATTAAAGCTTTGGTCCATTGACTTGCACTGACAGTAGGGTCTTCGGTGACATTACAGAATCACAGAATTGCTTTGATTGGAAAAGACCTTTAAAATCATCGAGTCCAATCATTAATCTCACACTGACCCATGTCCCCCAGCACTATGTCTACATGACTCTACAATCCCTCCAGGGATGGGGATTCCACCACTGCCCTGGGCAAGCCCTTCCAATGCCTGATTCCAACTTTCTCATTCCATCCTTTTTTACCAAGAAGCATTAATGTTACAAAGAACAACTATTTCTTATATACACATTAAGGAGGATCTAGAAAACTGGGTGGCATAAAAAGGTAGAGAAAAGAAGATTCATTAGGAAAGCAGAAAATCTGCTAATTGTCCCTTAAAAGAAAAGAGTATCAAGAATATCAGAAATAATCACTGAAATCACTTTTTGGTGGCATGATATCAGTTGCAAATACCTAAAAGCTTTTCAGTGTGTAGGACTTGAATCATAGAATCATAGAATCATAGTGGTTGGAAAAGATCTTTAAGATCATTGAGTCCAACCATTAACCTACCACTACCAATCCCATCTCTAAACCATGTCCCTAAGCACCTCATCTATCTGTCTTTTAAATACCACCAGGGATGGTGACTCCTCCACCTCCCCGGGAAGCCTGTTCCAATGTTTGACTACCCTTTCTGTGAATACATTTTTCATATTTTCCTTTTTTTTTTTCCTAAACCTCCCCTGGTGCAGCTTGTTGCCATTTCCTCTTTCTGTCACGCGTTACCCAGGACAAGAGACCAACACCCACCTCTCTCCACCCTCCTTTCAGGTAGTTGGAGAGAGTGAGAAGGTCTCCCCTCAGCCTCCTTTTCTCCAGGCTAAACAACCCCAGCTCCCTCAGCTACTCTTCGTAAGACTTGTTCTCCAAGACCTTCACCAGCTTCATTGCCCTTCTTTGGACACGCTCCAGAACCTCTATGTCTTTCTTGTATTGGGGGGCCCAGGACTGAGCAACCTAAACTCTACTGGATTCATACTACAACTAACTGATCTCCTGACGTTAAACTTCTCATTGAAGTCTGTGGAGATTTCTTATACACGCACACACGTATCACATATACAGTATTTTGCATTATTACTTACACATATAGTATTTTGCATTACTGTTTATGAAAGAATATATACATACACATATATCTACACTGATCTATGCACATACACATTTTTACACTTTCAATCATGTTACATATGTGCACAGGCATACGTATAATTAATTATATTTTATACATACGCACACATGCAGGTACACATGAAACTATATATGCACAAAACTGTAATGCATATACTCTGGTTACACATAGTATTTTTCATTGACAAAGGTCCTAATATGGGTTAAAAGATTAAAAAAAAAGGCACTATTTGCATATGTACATAATAGTTGACCACAGTGTAATTTAGCCAAAGAGTGCAGAATACACGATCCCTCAAGGGGAAGAGGAGGGGCAGGAGCTGATCTCTTCTCTCTGGTGATCAACGATAGGACCAGGGGAAATGACAGGAAGATGTGGCAGGGGAGGGTGAGGTTGGCCATGAGGAAAAGGTTCTTCAGGCAGAGGGTGGTGGAGCACTGGAACAGGCTCCCCAGGGAGGTGCTCATGGCACCAAGCCTGACAAGATTCCAGAAGCACTTGGCCAACATGTGTCCTCAGACACAAGGTCTGAACCTTAGGCTTGTCCTGTGCAGGGACAGGAGTTGGACTCGATGATCCTTGTGGGTCTCTTCCAACTCACAACATTCTGTGATTCTATGTAAACTGAGGTCAGAGATTTTATAAAAAAACCCTCTTACTTCCTTCTATGCAATTGCACTTGGAGTGTGAATTCACTTGGCCTGCGAGCTCAGCTACCAGGGAACAGGGCACAGGACTCCTCTACATATTTCAGAGTAAACAAAACTTCCATCAAGAATGGAAAAACAACCCCATGAGAACAGAAAAGCGAAGAATAATTAAACAGGTCTTAGGTCTTTTTTCCTGGGTCCTCTATCTTCCACCTCCAAAGATGTCACAGAATCACAGAACGGTGGGAAGGGACCACTGGAGATCATCTAGTACAACCAACATCATACATTTTTATTTGAAAACCACCTCACTGGCTTTGATGCAGGTAGTGGGGGAACACCACGATCTTCAGCATCATTAATGGACTTAGAAAACAGCCCTTTTCTTAGCAATATACTTACTGTTAAACATAGAGAGATACGTGAACTTACCTGTTTGGTACTTCTCTGCCCAGTAGGAAGCAAAGCTTTGGATTTCTCTGCTATTTTCTGTAAAAAAGGGAAAAAAAAAAAAAAAAAGAAAAAGGAAAATGGCTGAGAAAACAGTCTAAATATTTAGAGAAGGAATTAGATGAAGCTATTTCTTCTTTTATTAAAAAAGGACATAAAAAAATCTTATTTAAAAAAAGAAAGGGAATACAACCGCATTGAAAAGTTTGGTCTTGCAGGAATGAAAAGTCTTCAAAGCTTCCAGCATGACAAAGTTATCAAAATTGAAACACACATTCAAGGAATGACAGCTAGGACGTGGATAAGTAGCAATTTACCACTGGTTTCCTGACGCAACCGGGCATTCACAAACTGCAATGGCTAATTTTGGCACTTCTGAATTGATGACAGGTTTAAAAAAAAAAAAAAAAAAAAAAAATCTACATGTTCAGTTCAGATGGATTGTACTCATGAACATTAAAGAAAAAAAAAATAAAGCATAAAAAAGCGTGTATATGGGGGTGGAGCCCTTTACCTAAATGCTTCCAACTTTTCATTTAAGGGATAAAGCAATTTCATTTCAAGACCCCACATTTAGGTTTTTGAATAGGACAGAGAAATAATTAAAAATACGAGATAGCACTAGAGTTAATGCAATGTTACTACATGCTGTTGAAGTGCAATTTTAAGTGCTTTTATCTATTTATTTTTAAACCATAAGGCAGCAGGTGATGGGAAATCAATCAGCACAGAGTGTTTCTAATAGAGATAAATCATTAAGTGTGCATTGCCAGCCAAACTTCATTACACCTGTGTAATTACAGTATATTCTTCCTATGTGTTGCAGACATGGGTTAAACTCACTAAAGTAGTATACAAAAAAGCAACTGTTGTTAGTCCAGGTTGTATTTGCACAGGATTCAATTAATCCAGATATATATTCAAACTTGTTACTTCAGGGGAGAGAAGCAGTTTCAGGATGGTAAATTTAAATCATTATTACAGTCTTTAAAAGCAAAGCAAATCTGCTCATCAACAAAGCCTCCCCAGGGTAAAGTGGGAGAGCAAGAAGCAAATGAAAGAGCTGGAGTTTAGGTTTTGTTTGTTTTATTAAACAGCTTGATCTTGGTGACAGGTCCAAATCATAAAATGTGTTTGGAAACCTTCTGGCAAAGCTATATAACACTACAGAGCCATGAAGTGTGTTAACGTTGACATTAGCAATGTTGCCTACACATTTTCTTTAAGTAGAAATGGTGAAAGGGGCATTGTGCAATAACTTCTCTACTTGAAAGTGGAGACACACCAAAATAATGTCATGGATAAGCCAGGGGTACCACTGAAAGTCCACCAGACACACAGCTGGCAAAAATACATTTGTTTTCCCTTTCCATTGCTGCTGAATTGTTCTACAGTTGCATGCATGAGCATATTGCAATGTAGTGATAATTGCTGGAATAGCAGAGTAAGAAAAGAGGGAGGAAACTACACATGAGCAGCTCTATGGAGATTCTCCACGCTCCTGGGAGCCATGCTTACGCCTACATAACATGTTCCCAAATTCACACATGGAACAGCAAGCAAGACCCTCACCTTCTGCACAGCTCCGTATCTCTGGATGGCATCTGACAGTTGGTTTTTCAGCCTGTCCAGCTGAAGCCGCTCTTGCTGTTTTGGGAAAACAAAAGCTTGGTTAGCATGTCTGTAGGGATAAATCAAGTAGTAAATTTCTGTGACCATGGGAAATAGTCCTGGTCAGAGACATCAAATAAACAAGGTAGGTACAAAGCCAAATCTAAATATTCAGTTTCAATGGGGCTGCCAGGATGCTACAAGGTTTTATTTTAGGAAAAGTGTACAAGATGCTTTGCTTTTTCAGGCCAAAGTAACTCCAAAAATGCCACCTTGGATTCTATGATTCTGTGAAATACAAGCAAATAAATACCTTTCTGTCATCAAAAGAACAGGATGATTGTAGCATGGTATCCTGCTTCTACTTACTAAAATCCAGCCTCGAGTTATCTGCTAGAGATGATAACCCAAGGCATCCCTTGGGATCCCAAGGGATCCTCGTAGAAAAAGTCTTTTATTTGATGATACCCCATGATGGAGTTCATCACCTCACTTGATGGCAATGGGTGATTTACTCAGCTTGAGAGTTCCATCAGCCACAATAAGATCCTTTTTGCCTGGCCTAGGGCCTGATTGTCAGAAACCACTTTATCTCCACATTTTCCAGAATATGTACCCACATATCATTGCCTTTCTGTCTGGAGCTTGCTCCACAAAGATACCAAACTAGGCTTTAAACAAAGGTGTTCTCAGAAGGAAGACCCCAGTGTAGCCTGATGTCACTATCCAATGTGCTGCAAAATGGCTGCTCTCATGTGAAGTGACCAAAGCCAAACAGCAAAGTGTGTTAGGCTAGGTGATGGAAATTCTCCTGGAACTATTCTACCCTCTCAGTCTCAGACTTCTGGTGTGCAGGAGCTCAGCTGCAAGGAAGTGGGATGTCCCCTTAAAAACCAGGTAGTAAACAAACCCCAACCTACACTAAAGCTACTAAGCAGAATCATTCATTTTTCAACAATTTCAGCTGTTTCAGACTACTGCTTAAGAATACAAAAGGAAATTTTATAAAGGATGGGATAAACATCTTTAATTTTTAATGGTAATGTTTTCATATACAGAAGAATAATCCCAGTCTTACAGTTCTTCATTCAAAGATTTAAAACCAATTTTAAAGCAGGGCAAGTATCATTATTTCCATTCTACAGATAAAGGTCTATAAACCTTGTTTGTTACACATGCAAAATAAGATAAGATTGCCACCCTGGAGAGCTGATCTAATGGTCCAGCACTCATCCTATAAAAACATGGAATTCTAGATAGGCTTCTCTATTTAAGTCCTTTGAGGTTAGTTTGAAAGGAAGCACTAAAATAGCCATGTGCTAATTTATATCAGTCTCCTGCCTTGTATCAGACTAATCCACTTACACCAGTATCTTTGCTCCTGAAATACTATCAATTTGCTCAGTTGGGCATCCTGACTCCAGTAGTTCTACCAGAACGTGGAGAGTCAAGGGAAGTTAGAGAAAGTCCCACAGTGCACCTTATTGGTGGTGCATTACTGCTGGAAAATAACGAAAAATGGGGAAAAAAAAAAAAAAAAAAAAAAAGTCTGTGTGTGTGTGTGCAAAGCAATACACAGAATAATGGATCGGAAAGGACTGACTATAAAGCTCTAAATTAATTGAAGGTTTTTCATGCTGTGTGAAATTTTATGGGAGGAAAGTCTGCAGTGCTACCCAGATCCCCAAGAGGGACTTACCAACCAGCAGCCAATACCTACCAGAACTATTTATTCTGTATAAGGAAGGAGGGCTACAAGCTTTATAACAAAATTGGTAGGTTTAATTACTTAAACTGCACACTGTTAGAAAAGAAGAGTTAAAAAAATAAAATTTGTTAAATTAATTGACCAGGGAGCAGAAAGTTATTATGCGATGCCAATAGAGAGCGTCAAATTTCTTCTTCATATTGGCATAATTGTTTGTGTGTCTATTTCCTTCAGCCCTTAAATATTCTCCCTTCAACTCATCAATTTTTCTCCCTATGACAGTAAAAGCTATTCTGCTGAAAGCCCCCAGTGGATGCTACATGGTCAAATAACGGCATTTTTGTGTGGCAATATAATTGGGTTTAACGTGACCTTGCCTGATTTCCCTTTGGACTCAATTTATGTCACAAAAGGGAGCCAGGAGATCAGCACAAAACAGCCCAGATCCCCATATCTTCAAGAAAACTACTTCTATTTCATCAAGCTTTGATATAATTATTATCAGTGTATGGAGGAAAAAGGAAAAAAAAAAAAAAAATTCTTGTAGTCCACCACTGATCAAAGCAACATGTTAACAAAGATCAAAGTATTAAGGTTGATGCCTGCATGAGGTCAATGTCTACATATTGAGAAGAGTCATTCCAAACTTCCCTCCCCATCCTCTGCAGTAGATCATCACCCTTTTTTTATTTTTTTTTTTGGGTGGGCTGAATTACACATGGTCCTCCACCAGTTACAAAGGTAGCCTGGAGTGATTCAGCCCTTAAATCCTTATCTCAGATGCCTGTTCACAAGTGACATAAATCCAGGCTGTAAAAAACAGTTGGACAGAGATTAGCTGTGTGTTTAGAGCAGTGTTTTTTCAAGGTGGAAGGATAATGAGAACAGAATTGAATTAATACAGGACTTTGGAGAACGGCAGCAAGTGAGTGAGGGTAAAACACCAATTCAGATAAGTTTCTGACCCAGAAACTATATGGACATTGGAAGCAAGAACATAACAGAAAACTGCTAGGCAGAATCAAGTAGAAAAGAACTTGTCCTTATTGTCATTTCAGTTGCTGAATTATCTGTTAGGTGGGTGAAACTTCTCAATTCTCACACCAGCTGGAGTTTGCCCCCCACAGTAAGTTTCTGTTCTTCCCCAAGACGCTTACCACAAGCTAAAGTCAGCAGAAACATATGGGGAATAAAGGTCTTTGTGGAAAGGTCAGAAACCTTCTTTTTGTCCAATGTTTGCACTAAGGACCAGAGGATGGAGATCATTCACACCCCTGTGACAATGATATTTATATAAGTTAAACCTACTGATGACAGAAGACAAGTCTGTCCATATAACAGATGCGGTTGCTGTGGGGTAAACTGTAATTCAAAGTTCTGCTCTGATCTGGCCACAGCCTGTAGTACTTTTACCCAAACTGAGTGAGACCCTGAGACTGTGTGAACCAGTCAAGTCTTCGTTGCTGATTCTTCTTGATTTCCAATTTCACATGATCAAGTTTGGGGAGAAGAACTGTTTTTTGCAGCTGATTTCCCATCGGTAATTTATAAACGCAAGCTACACTTACTATGTAACAGGAAAGGAAGTTGTAACAAGACGTGGAGTTCAACAGCTTTAAAGCACCTACTACTGCTTTTTTTTCATTATTACTCCTTCCATAAGCCCCAGCACTCTCCTCCAACAGCAACTTGAATGACACGTACCCTGGATGAGCCTCTGACAACCTCAGACAGCTGCTTGATGGCTTTGGTGCTAGTCGTGATGGTTTTATTAGTCTCCTGCTGAGTTGCATGCCTGTAAAAGAAGAGAAATGATGAGAACTGCAATTGAAATTAATTGCATAATAAGATGCTTACAGAAATTTATCAAGCTGCAGAGCAATTGAGACAACACAACATACAGCCCATGGAACCACAGTAGGACTACAGAAGTCCAAAGCCTTGACTAGCAATGGCAGCCAGAAGGCTGTAGGAAATACTAGCAAGGAGCTGCCCAAAATATTCCTCCCGTCATCAGCACAAAGACAACAAACAGCTGTGGAGCTGCAAAGTCAGTGGGAGAAGATAAGGTGAAAATAAGGGATGACTATCACAGATGGTTGGTATTGCAACTAAAATTGGCTAAAGAAGGGTTATACATCAAAACAAGATGGGACTGGGGAGTTACCTCATGACTTGCCCAGGAAAATTTTGCACTCAGAAAAAAAATTTGAAGATAAAGAAACTGAGCAGGACAAATTTACTTGCACATGATCATCTACCTGCAAATGACATAGTATCTCCAGGAAAGCACTGTGAACGTGAAGGTGCAGTGCTGCTTTACAGGCAGCAGGCACCAAACCTGCTGAAACAGGCAGGTAGGAAGCCAAACCAGTCATGGTTGCCCCTCTCCTCTACACCCCAAATTCCAGTACCATAATTTCTTGTAAGTACTGGCTGCTGGCTTCACTGTATGGGACCACACAAAGTAGAGGGAAGAGATATAAATGCTGCCCAAAGGTTTTTACCAGCTCAGTTCAGTAGTTCTCAAGCTTTATAAGGTCAACAGGGCATTTTCAGCCTCTAAGCTTCCCCGGGGAGCACTTCACATCTTTTTATACAAAAAGGAGTGGTGTTTTTTCCACAATGTTTCAGTAAAAAACTCTAGGAAGGCTCAAGAAACACCTGGAGAAAATAGTATTTTTTCTCCCTCAGAGGACACATTTGAGCCATGGTTGTATTGAAAAGACTCATTTGTCAGTGCTTCTTTTTTCAATGTGGGTGGGATGTAGGGTGAATGGAAGTTCTCTGATTAAAAAATGTTAATATGACTCTTTATGGTCCCTCTGTCCTGAAGACCCATGGCCCATCCTGGTGCTTCAGCTCCTTCCTGTTCTCTGTCAGCATTGATGGAAACCAACTCTTTCAAGACTTAAGTCAACTCTCTCAGCTCCTACTTTGAGGAACAAGGCCAGTCCCCAAACAGTCTTTACCAAATGCAACCTTAACTACAAATAAATTGAGACCTCTCAACAAGTGCTCCACTGACTGTCATTTCCATCTGGTCAAAGTAAATGGACAGAGTCACCATGATCTGTGATATTCACCTCCATAGCAAAGTTTTGCAGTTTTTATCCACTTAAGCAAGATGTCTGTGCAGAAAACTCAGGTGGGAAAGTTCTCTAGGATAAAAGTACACTTAATTTGATGCTTAATTTGATTTGTACCTACCAGGTATACAATGAAAGCTTAGTGTACCATGAAGATAACATCTCTTAGCTGCAGAACAGTAGTTCAGATGTACGTTAAGGGTTGAACAAGTGCACAGAAGGCATGGATTCCTTTGGCACCATACAGGAAAGAGAAATAACCTCACATGAATACAAGACTGGATCTGATTACTAGTTATTCTGATTTAAATTAAGATACCACTCCTATATCCATTCATCAAAATGCACTTCATTTATTTATGAACCTAGGACCCACTGCACCAGTTGACTAATTATATTACTTGTACTTTGTGATGGAAGAGGTCATATATGCCACAGACAGGTATTCCATACCGTCATCACAGGAGAGGGAGCTGGGACTTGAATCCTGTCACATAGCCTGCCTTGAGGAGAAGACAGTTATCCTGATCACCAGTCTTTTAATGAAGTAAATCTTGTCACCAAGTGCATGAATTCTGTAAGCAGCAGTTGCAAAACTGAGACTTCCAAAACTAATTCCTCTTAATGCAATGCAAGATGCTGGAGTTGATGTCCAGTCATTTTGCAGACCTCATTAAATTATCTGCCCACAAAACGAGTCAGGGATTTACATACCAGCAATTCCCCATCCCCAAAGTAAAATGGCTTGTTAGGTTCATGCATCTGATCCTTCCCAGACCCTGAGGTTAAATAAAGTCTCCTTCATTTGCATTCTAATGTAAATTTTGTTAGCTATCTTACGTAATAAATCCACGCTGTGCACAAACTTTGCACTGAACTGCTGCAAAATAACTGGGAGCAGGAGTACAAAAAATAAAAAGTTCTGCCTTCCACCTCTTAATTCAAAATGCACTTTAACCAACATGCTGGTGCCTGATTTGGCACTTCCCACTATGTTGTCAGCACAATTAACTTCTTATTCTTCAGCCTCAGAGATATGCTCAGGAATTAGACAGTGATTATATTTAATTTACATTAAATGCTATTAAGATCTTCATTAAAAAAGAGGCCTTGAAACTCCACTCCCCGCAGCATTTTATTTTAATATGTAATGGTAACAAGATATGTCACTATTATTATTATTAATATTATTATTATTATTAGCTTTCTTTATGTTCCTCTCCCCATGGAAGTGTGAAAGTTAATTAAAGGGGTGTCTCTGATGAATAAAATTTGCTTGTGAAAAAGAAGAGTCCTCTGCACAATAGTAAGTTAAATACTCAGTTTTTGGAGATACTGAATACCTAAAATATAAACGTAAAAGTCTTCTCTGTCTACAGCACTACTCTGAAAATCACAGAATCACAGAATTGCTTAGATTAGAAAAGACCTTTTAAGGTCTTTAAGATCATCAAGTCCAATCATTAACCTCACACTGACATGTCCCTCAGCACTATGTCTACACGACTCTTCAATCCCTCCAGGGATGGGAACTCCACCACTGCCCTGGGCAACCCCTTCCAATGTCTCAGAACCCTTTCAGCAAAGAAATTCTTCCTCACATCCAATCTCAATTGCCCTTGGTGCAACTTGAGGCCATTTCCCCTTGTCCTGTCACTTGTTCCGTGGTTGAACAGACCCACCTCCACCTCTCTCCATCTTCCTTTCATGGAGTTGGAGAGAGCCAGAAGGTCTCCCCTCAGCCTCCTTTCCTCCAGGCTCAACAACCCCAGTTCCCTCAGCTGTGAACTCATCACACTTGTGCTCCAGACCCTTCCCAAGTTCTGTTGCCTTTCTCTGGACACGCTCCAGCACTTCCATGTCCTTCTTGGAGTAAGGAAATAAGCACTCTAAGAGTAAAAACAAAAAGGGCATCTCTTGGGAAGAATATGATCTCTTGCTGTGCATTTCTGTCTGCACAAAGATTGCAAAGACAATGCACTAAATAATACAGGATGTGCCACACTGCTGCCTAAGAGTTTCCTATGGCTGCTGTTGTCTTTACCAGAGGAGCATGGTCCACCGAATCCATAATCCCCAGCACACAGCTGCTTACAGTTTGTTCTTTGAATGATCATATCTGTAATTTATTTATCTAGTTTAAAAAGAGCTTAGCAAAGAAGCAGATGTGATGACGGCTGCTTCCCTTCGCCACAGGGGCAGAATGAAGGAGCTTAACTACTGATTCCACTGTTTCTTTGAGACACTTAATAGAATCATAGAATGATAGAATGTTGTGAGTTGGAAGGGACCCACAAGGATCATCATGTCCAACTCCTGTCCCTGCACAGGACAAGCCCAAGATTCAGACCATGTGTCTGAGGGTGATGTCCAAACGTTTCTTGAATATTGTCAGGCTTAGATGAATGACCAAGTCAAAATCAATAATCAGACCCCAAATGCAAGAGCAAAGACCAACAAGGGAAAGGCTACTCTCTGCCTCACCATTCCTGTCAGCACTCACAATAATCCCAAAGTGCTTTGTTTTCTAGTTCCAACAGAGGAAAGGCATTTCCATTTATAATACAGGATATGGCCTATTTTACTTTCATCTGATCCCTAATATAAAAGCAATAATACATTTTTCAGGTACAGATCAAGGATATCTTTACTGTATTGGCTTAAACTCCATTAGATTTCATATTTCCTTTAGCACAGTACAACTACATAGCAATGGAACAGTTTTATGCCATTAAGAGATGGGTGGTCAAGTAGGTTTGGCTACAGTTAAGCCAGGGATTGCAGCATAACTTGAAGTGTACACTTGTCTTTTGCACAGCAGCCGTAATGCTTACCACTCACTGCAGTTTTTTGGGTAAAAAATAAAGTATGTGGAGCAGAGCACTGAGCTGCATGATCTTAAGGAGAAATAGGTTGAGTATCTGCATTTACATATATTCCATTGTTGTTGGAGACATAAATATGTAAAAATGCATCAAGCATGCATAAGGAAATCGTCCACAGCATAAGATTTTAGCCAATCTCTTCCTGTCTGTCCTGGTTTCTAGCTGGGACAGAGATAGGGTTTTTTTCTAGTAGCTAGAATAGTGATATGTTTTGGTTTCAGCCTGGGATTTGTTATAAAAAAAATGTTGATAACATACTGATGTTTTCAATTGTCGCTGGAAGTCAAAGGACTTAATGTTTTTGCTAGTCTACACCTGCAAGGTCTAGGAGGGGCTGGGAATTTTAAAATTAATAACCTAGATTGGCATTTGGATATGCCAATGGGATATTCCATATCATATAACATCATGTTCAGTATATTAATGAGGGTATCTCTCTCTCTGGGGGGCTCTCTCCCTCATGGGGGGGCCCTCTCTCTGTGGCTCTCTCTTGGACTCTCAGTCTTCTGGGAATGTGTTTTCATTTTTGGGATTGTTGGCCCTCCAGGATCGTTATCTGAGGGCTTGGTTGGCGGGTGGTGAGCAATTGCATTTTGTATTGCTCATTTGTATATTTTATTATTACTACTATTATCATTATTATTTTAACATCAATATTATTGTAAGTTTTATTTTATTTCCATTATTAAATTAATTAAATCTATGACTCTCTTTACCCCTCCAATTTTCTTCCTTATTCCTTGTGGGAAGGGAGAGTGAGCGAGCAGCTGTATTTGGCTGCTAGCCAAGCACTGGTCAAGTGAAACCACCACACTGTCTTA